GATTCCCGCGAGAAATTATCGATTTCCCGCGAAAAGTGATCGATCTCCCGCGAAAAGTAGTCCGTTTCCCGCGAAAAGAAGGTTTCCCGCCTGACCTAACCGACGATTTTGCTAATGACTTTGGGGAGAGGGTACCGAGGGTATATAAGGACCCGCCGATGTCCCGCGAAATCATTTACCCTTTATACTGGGCCCTAGACACTTCGCGGCGTATTTTGACCTGAAGGTTCTGAGATGTGAATAGAGTGGTCGGGGGCTACTAGCTAGTCTATGTCCACCCTGTACACACTCAGCCTTCTTGTAACACTTGTATACATTAGAATCAATTAGAATTTCTATTACTAATTATTAAACAAATTTTAACAATTACCGGCACTCGCTAGGCACGTAATATCAGACTTTAAATACTCGACTTCGAACTTCGGTTTAGTCATAATTCTATTAATGTTATAATAAAGTATAATTTATTAATTCTCACAATTTTATTATTAATTTATACTTCCAAAAATTTGTTAAAACATTACATATTATTATTTATACATTTTTGCAAGTTTCTTTGACAAATAAGTACGTTTCAACGATCTTATTACTTTCTCGTTGTGAAATCAAGTTCGGAGGATTAAAAATCAGGTTGACCCTTGGTCGTAAATTTAAAATACCCATAGTGAAGGTGAAATTATTATTTTAAATAAATGTGTCTATACGAATTAAGAATCTATTCAACGTTTATTTGTTGCAATACCGTGAAATAAATTGTATTATATATTTTCTCAGTTTAGACTGAATTTAAAGTTCGTAAGGATTAGAAATCAGGTTGACCCTTGGTCGTAGATTAAAAATAGCCATAGTGAAGGTAAAATTACGTTAAATAATTGTTTTTATACAAATTAAATATTGATTCAACGTTTATTTGTTGCAATACCGTGAAATAAATTGTATTATATATTTTCTCAGTTTAGACTGAATTTAAAGTTCGTAAGGATTAGAAATCAGGTTGACCTGTGGTCGTAGATTAAAAATAGCCATAGTGAAGGTAAAATTATTACGTTAAATAATTGTTTTTATACGAATTAAATATTGATTCAACGTTTATTTGTTGCAATACCGTGAAATAAATTGTATTATATATTTTTTCTGTTTACACTAAATTTAAAGTTCTGTTTACATGTTATAACAATTAGAATGTAGACGTTTTGCCGTTTCACGGTTTTTCCTCTGTTAATTATGTGTTTATAAATCATTTCAAACTAAAGCAGCACCATGCCCACCCTTAATTAAACCGTCTCAGTAGTTTACCGTAATTAATAATCTATTTTCGGAATTTATACGAGAATTTTTGAATTTTAGTAAATACTAGAGTCAGTGCATCGCGTATTGAAATAATAGCTTATACAGATAATCTTTTGAAATTACTCTTAATTAGGGAAAATCTTGAATCTTGTATGGAAGATGAAGATTTTCAGGAAATATTTATTTTTCAACAATGAATTTTTGTTTTATCGATTAATAACGTACGAAATGATTTTTGGAAAATTTTCTTCGTTTGAACGTTCGTTTAAGGTTCGACTATGATTATCAAATCTCTCGAAACACCGTAGAATGTTCAATTTTAAAAGTAACTTCTTCAATTTTTGGATAATCTGGGTAACGTGTTAGTGTTGACGATACACTTTCGAGTATAGACGTTAAAGTTCATAGAGTGGTCGGGGGCTACTAGCTAGCCTATGTCCACCCTGTACACACTCAGCCTTCTTGTAACACTTGTATACATTAGAATCAATTAGAATTTCAATACAATAGACTGAATAACAATTCATTTTAACTAATACCTATTAGAAATTTTCCTTTTAAAACAAATATAAATCATTTTACCAATTACTGGTACTTGCTAGACATTTAATATCAGACTTTAAATATTCTCCTTTCGGTTCTTTTAAATACAATCAAATAATTTCTTCAATTATCGATACTGACTTGGAATACTCCGCTTCGAATAAAATATTTCGAAATTATTTTGAAGGTTTAGGGAAATAAACATTTGAATTTTAGTCATCGTTGTTCTTCAGACTTGTCGAATAGGATATTGAAATGACTTTGAGAGGTTGCCTTTTCGTTACTTTTCTTCCAGCAATTGAAATTAATTTGAAATTTTTCATATATTTTCTCTGATATTGAATTTTGTTTACTAATAATTTACCATCCAACGAATTTGCATGAATTGCATGTTAAGTAGTTAGTTGATTTATTATTGTATATTGTGAGCTGATTTGGAACGAGTGCACTATGCCCACCCTAAATTAAACCGTCTCAGTAGTTTACCGTAATTAATAATCTATTTTCGGAATTTATACGAGAATTTTTGAATTTTAGTAAAATTTTAAGATAATAAATTTTTATTTTAATTTCAATTTTAATTTGATTTTAATATTAATTTCATTTTATTTCCAATTTTCAATTAATAAATTTACGCGCTATACAATACCGTGCCACATTATCTGTGAAATAACTGTGACGATCAATGCAGTCACGATGATCCACTTCATTCGAGGATTTAAAAAATCAACGAATACCAGTTAGAGTAAATCTTGCTCGATAATTAAGAACTTAATTCTTCGATTCTTGAAAAAAGTCATACAGCAGAAGATGGTGCTTCTAGTTCGACGTCGTTCTCCAAATCCCCGTTTCTCCTCTGTTTGATTTAAAGCCGATGCATTGAGTCGCAGTTAAAGTTTTCAGAACAACTGACACGGCAAGGATGAACCAGTTACGATTCGAACCAGTCCGAAAAAGTCTTCAAATATCTCCTATTACCTCTAATACTTTATCCACGAATTTCTTTCTCCTTCGTGTTACACCCTTTTCTGCGAGGAGAATAACTTGCGGTTCACCTTTTTCCTTTTTTCCACGACGAAATCGATTCATTACAGCAATAAGAGACGGGATTGACACGGAGACTCTTGTCTCGCTTTCTCTCTTTCTCCTTGCTCGCTTTCTCGAACGAGTATACCCTCTTAATCCGACTAATTGTTTACGTTACGACGAAGTTGCTACGTGAATTATAAACTATCCAAGTTTCTTCGTTCGTCTCCCGCCTCAACTCTATCCGTGACTCCTTCTAATCGTATCCTCAGCCTTGGCAAAGAATGGCGGCCTGGTTTCGCTAATGAAGTTACTTCGTCGGACAAACCTTATGTACTCTCTCTCTCTCTCAAAGTGAAAGAGGACGGAACTCGATCGCGGGGCTTATTCTGCTGTATAATTGGACGAACAAATTGGGGAATTGATTCTGTGACAGGCCGGATGATTGCGAGAGTCGGGGCAACATTTAGCTTATAATTCGATTATTAACCTGGAAACTTAATGTCCACGGTAACGAAGAATTTTCTTCCTCTTATTCCACTTTTCGCTATTCAAGACACTCGCGTGTATACGTATTTCGAGGATTTTGATGATATAAGGGTGTGATGGGGTGTTTCTAACAGTGGTTTGTTTGGAGGGAGAGTTGGGTGAACGAAGACGAGTAACAGAGGCGTGAAAGAAGAGAGTTTGGAAGAAGGTATAGTCGGTGGAAGCGATATAACGAGGTTCTAAAATTTATCAGTCCTCAAAATATACGTAATCTGAGCGCCAAAACAGTAATTCGAGGGAGATAAGGAGATCAACCCTCGTTTAGGGTTGTTTGACGTCAACTTAGAATTAATTCCTCCATTGCAGTAAATTTGAAAAATTTTTCTGCTTTAGCAATTCGCCAAATTTTCATATTCGCTATATTCAATAAATTAAATTAAATTATACAGTGCATTTGAACACACACGAGCAAGTCTCAAGACTAAAATGCAATCGAGCAGGCAAATTTCAATCAGAGTGTAAGAGATCCACGGTTAAAGGGTAGAGAACAGAGCGCTTAAATTACTCTTTGTATTCGACTTTTTCGGCACAACAGGATCAAGGTTATTTTTTTCTCCTTTGTCCATGAAAGAATTATTTTACGATCAGACAGCGAGGTTGTCTCGTTGGCGATTAGTCGAGCCGAGGAGACTGGTGTCCCGCGAGAGATAAGGAAGATAAGGAAAAGTTTCGAATGCTCCAGGTGTAATTAACTCGAGATTGATACGAATTAAATGTCGCAGCTGGCGTCGCGAGTCACTTACTTGTTTGCAAGTTGAGATCCACCTCGGGGTTCATTGGAATTTCTCGGTTACTGAACTCGGATGCTGACTCTTCCGTGGTATTTTCATAGGGATTCGCTGAAACAGGAAGACGTGTCTTGCTAATTAAACCGTTATAAGTCGCGTTTAATCCGACGGACAATAAAGCCTCTTGCTCGTTTCTTCGCGATCTCTCCGCGATTCGCTGGACACTAATTAACGGAGTATTACGTGAATACGGAGAGCGTAAAAATCGTGGTAAAAGGGAGGAGAAGGTGATTTCTCGTGTCAGGAGGAATTGAAATTGTGGATTAACTTATTTCTGTTGGAAGCTTCGTTTTCAAGGTATCACGATTTCTCAGGCACCCTGTACATTCGATAAAGACTGTTTATATCACTCGCACATTATTGTGCTTTACTTCTTGAAATTTTGCAAAATTATTGATCATTTTCTCTCTAGAGACTCAAAAAAAATTTGAGAAAATACACCACTGTAGGTTGCAGTCGATTTTAATATGTAAATAAAAAGAGCAACCATTCTCTTCTCCATCACACATTACCTTATTTCTAAATCGCCGGAGAAATTTTGCAGAAAGTATTGATCTTTTTTCTCAGGAAATACAAGTCGATTATAGTCAATTTTAATAAATAAATTATTACGACTGTTTCGATAATTCCAGTATCATCTAAATTTCAATAAAGAAAAAAAAAAAGAGAAGCATTCACTCCCTTCTCCACGAAAAAAGAAAAAACGACCTCTCTATTGATATTTAAAATTTCCACCTCAAGCTTCCCGACTCCATCGACACCCAATTACCAGGAGCCATATTAACAAACACGTTCCTCTGGTAATCCCGTCATTCGATCCTCATTCCAATTTCCGCAGGACGTGCGCTCTCTTTTTGACGATTCCCACGGGGTTTCCGCAGGTAAACGACGGTTCAACGATCGCGGCCGTTAATTCGAACGGCCATTAGAATCGCGCGCGATGAAATTGGAAAGATAGGGTTGGAAAGGAAAAGGGGGAAGGGCAGAGAGATATTCGAGACAAAGACGTGACAAGCGTTAAAAGCCACGAGCGTGATGGTTCTCGCGGGTACAAGCGGGAAGAGATAATCCGCGATGTCGTTACACCTCTATTCATTGCCGATTTAACAAGACCTCAGACTAGATGTCGTCGAATGGTAATTAAGCTCGAAAGTCGACCACGATTTTTATAACACGCCGCGGTCTGACGATCTCTCGAGTGTTCTCTAATTATGTAAAATCGTATTAGAAGGGGTTACGGAGTTGAACGAAGAGAAATTACGTCGAAACTCGTATACACGAGTCTTGTACACGGATCAATCAGAACATTGCCTCGAGATCCTTCTCTCCCTTTCTCTCTTTCTCGAGAGAGGTGATTGGATGAACGAAAGAGAGAGATAGTGATAGACGGAGAGAGAAACGACGAAACACTCACTTCCTTCGAATGTCACTTCACTGATCATGATCCATCGGGCGGCGAAATACAAATGTATCTTGAGGAACCATGCGCGGTGCTCGTGAAGCCCTATGGACACGTTTCTCGCGTTCTCCAGCACGGTATCCGGTATGTAGGAGTAAGACAATGGCTCCTCTTCGTATGTGACGCCGTCGGGGCTGAACCAGACGTCCGCTTTCGAGAATACCTGGAGAGTAGACGGAACGCTTGGGATCAGATTCTGTCGACAAACGAGCTCTCCCTTTCGTCTCTGTTATCCTTAATTTTCTATCGATACGAGAAATTCTAATTAACACCGGAACTACCGATCACGGGTCAAAATGGCCAATTAGCATCTTTGGAAAAAACGTGAATGCTCGATACTGGCAAGTATCATTATTTTCTGCATGTATCGATACGAATCGAACTTTCCAATCACGGTTTACTTGCACGAAAATTCACTTTTTTGGAAAGTCGCTAACGAGTCATTCTAACTCGGCTGGTAACTCTTCCAAGTTTTGTCCGAAAATTCCTGCAGGATCTTTTTCATCAGATAGTACGGAATGCAATCATTTTACGACAGACAATATGTTTCGTTTGGAAGGATAACGATCAGGAAATTAGACTGTGAATTAATTACACGGAGTGCAATGTATCGTGTATTTCGATAAATTTAATTGGATTCGCCATGGATGCGCCTCTGGTACGATCAGAGAAGCGTACATATGCGCGCGCGATGTTCCGATGCTCGTCAATGTTACAGTTTCAATTTCAGGACCGGTTAAAGTATCATTCGATTAACGACGGTGACGCTTACATTAATTCTCACGTAATAATGTAACAATGTGTTTGATTGTGCGCGCGTAGTTTTCGCGCGATGGAGAACGAGCAGAAGAAAGAAGTGTAGGATGTAATAGGCGCTAGTTGATGGACCACTCGCTCAACTCACCGTGTAAGCAATAACCGGTACTTAAGGCCGACTCACTTTTAACGGCGTTGCCTTTCATCCAGATGAAAGGAGATACGAACCTATCCATCCGGTGCGTCGCATTGACATCTCAACGGGCAAGAATTATCGAGCCCGGTTCACCCTCGATTTTTAATCCACGTGCACGCAGGTGTCGACGCTTCTTCTTTAAATTAAATTTTTGAAATTTTTGTTACATCTGATTCGTCTCTTGAAACCATTTAAGCCACGTAAGGAATATTTCTCGAATTTTTCTAGATAGAGAAGATACTTGTGGTGGTCTGTTTTACTAATTAACACCATGGTAGATTGCTTTACTTCTGGAATTGCTTTTCGAAATTTTTTCCCCGTCTGATTGGTCTCTTTGAACCATTTAAACCACGTGAGAAATATTTCTGCAATTTTCACTAATGATGTTTTACCAATTAACACCATAGTAAACTGATTTACTTTTGAAATTAATTTCTCACCAATCCGAAAGAATTTTCTATCCTAATTCACACTCGTATCTTTTTCTCCACGTTTCTTCGTATATTACCCAGGTAACTCAGGATTGCATTGATAAAATTGGTTTTTTAAGCGTTTTCGGCAAATCTCGAAATTCCTCCTCGATATTTTTAATCGCCAGCTTGGACAGCCTCGGAATCTGGTCCCATGGAAAATATCGCGGCGTCTAACGCCGAGGCGGTGGTCGTTAAATGTTTTATCTTTCGCGAGGAGGAGGTTTAAAGGGACGAGGAGGTTTAAAGGGACGAGGAGGTTTAAAGGGACGAGGAGGGCGAGAGAGAGGGGGGGTAGTTGGTTGCATTACCTTACCTGTACGTCGCGGGAGAAGTAATTATTGGTGTAGATGTGGACCGCGTCGAAAATCCAGGTTGCCTCGAACTCGAAAATCAGCTCGACGTAATCGTCCTCGAAGGTGTCGCGCATCCAGGCGACCCATCCGGTGCCTGCGAACGAAAAAGTATCTGTTTCGCGATGGAATTGATTTACCACGAAACCATTCTGGCCTCCTACCGACGGACAACTTCGTTAGGGTGAATCGAAGTTAAGGCCCGAGCAGCGATTGATCTATTGTTTCTCTCGTTAATTGAATTGATTCCGTTCGGGGTAACTTCCGGGCGCAAGACACCCAACCCCTATCCCCTCAGCCACCTGCTGTTCTCCAGTCGATTCTCTGTTTTGTAAAGTGTCCTCCTAGCGTAATCCACTCTGTCTCGTCTGTTTGCAGGTGCTAAGTACCGATTGCGGACACTTCAACGCTGTCTGAGGAATATTGTATCAACGGTTCTACCGTTCTTAAGAGAATTTTGAATGTTTAGAATGTTTACTTGTATTTTAGAAAGGGAACGTTTAGATTTGGATGTTGCGAATTTTATTGGCTCGACTTAAATTTGGAACAGTTTGAATTTGGCTCAATCTAAGTTTTTTAATTTGATTGGCTTAATTTAAATTTGACCGAATCTAAATTTTTTAATTTGAACATCCGGAATTTGATTTGCTCAACTTAAATTTGGAATAGTTCGAATTTGGCTCAATCTAAATTTTTAAATTCGAGTATTCCGAGATTCATTAGTCACATTTAAATCTTAAATAGTTTGTATATAATTGTCCAATATTTAAATTTTATAATTGAAATATCTAAATCTAAATTCTATCAGCTGGATGGAAACAGTTCAACTTTTTTTCCAAACATTCCGAATTGACAAAGTCGTCATCATTAATAATCCCCACTTATCCTCAACGATCCCTACACTTTCAAGCTAAAATCCAGCATCACGCGATTCAGACGGCAGTTTCGAAACACCGTTCCTAAAAAAACGTTTTTACGTTTCTACAACGATTTCTCCCAAGTCGTGGACGTCTTTGAGAGACGTTGTTCGGTTTCGGCACTTAGCAGCCCGCCTATTACCTCTTCCATCTCCCATGTCCAGCCTGTAATTATCCGCGCCGACCTCGCCATCGATCAGTCGGCCTAGACCATCGGTCAACAAGTTGTCCTGCCTTTTGCCGTCGTAGGAGATGTCGCTCAGCTCGACCGTCGGGGATTCCGGTATGGTGTAGCTCACCATGCCGCCTGGAACACAGTGGAACTTTCCTGGTGACAACCGCCGCGACAATGCTTCTCTCTTTTAAAACAAACTCGAAACAACCGGGGCCAACTTTGCGACGTTCCTTTGCTACTGTGCACCCTCGGATGGCGTACACGGAGGAAGGAAGTTGGCGAGTGCGTTGGTGAAGTGGAGAGACAGAGTGAGGGGACAAAGAATTGCTACGTTGACAGCATGTTTCGTCAGCTAGACTGTTTACCTTTTACCTAGGTAAAAGGCACCGGTGTTTCGAGGGTGGGTGTTCTTCCTCTTTCGTGTGACGTTCGGTAGCGCGATGAGTTTTCAAAGAGATTGTTTTAATTGAATGGGTTTTCGGGGGGTGTGAACGTGTTTGACAAGTTCGCCGACGTTCATCTAGCATATCGCGGTTCAGATTGTATTGCGTAAAGTGATATTGATTTTCTGCCGGCAGCGAACTTGTTAAGTTAGTTTCGAGTGTCGTTCACGATGGTTTGTAATAGGCTAATTTTGTGTGATCTCGAGTGTTAGATTTGAGAGGAAACGTGGAGGTTGTGAGACGATTTTGTGCGATTGGTTTGGTTTGAAATGGAAATAATTGTGTGTTGGTGAATTCGGCTGCTTATTTTTTTCATGGATGAATTTTTGCTGCTTGGACAATTGGCTAAATTATTCCTCGACATTGATAAGAGTGTAATTGGAAAAACGTCGATTTTAATTTTTTCACGTAAATTGACTTCACAGGGTCGTTATGTAAATGTGCATTTTAAACTGCACTTTCCCTCGAGTTGTACCGCTATTAATGCGAAGCAAGGAAATTCGCTTTTTTATATTATACAATATAAAGAGGGTGGTTGAAAATATTTGCAAATTGTTGTTCAGTGGATGGATAACGTTGTTAATCATTATCGTTACTAATTTGTGCAGTAACTTAGTAAAATGTTCAAAGGGCGGGTAAAAAGGCTGCTACAAACAAATTTATTACGTTGGTTCGCAATAATGAGCGTACTTGGAGGTAAAGTTTTGTAGAATAATGAATAATGTTGGTAATTAATTCTTTTCTTGGAGGAAAAGAGGCAGTTACTCCTCTCCGTGTTCTCGATAACGAGAAAGTTTCACGACGGAAAGATAGAAAAAAGTGATGGTTGAACGGGTCACGGATCTGATCGGCAGTGTGTCGCGAGCGTGTCCGAGGGGTCGAGAGCTCGCGGCGAGAAAATTAATAATGAACGACAAAAACGGCGGCCACTTCGCTCTGCCGTGATCAGAATCGCCTAACTACTCTCAATATTTCACGGTGCATACGTCCGTGGCCGGTGAACCGTGTCACGCGATGCGGTCGAGCGACTTTCAGACAAGTCCTACGTTGCTTGCTACTTGCGCGAAAAAAAGAACGTCAAATCTTTGCTTTAATTGGGGGGAAAGAGGAACGTGCGTTCTATTTTTTTTTTAACGAACTTGGTGCGAGGTTCGACCGAATTCTTTGTCTTGGATTATTGTATTTGGCAGAAATTGGCGAAATTTCGATCTTGAATATCTGAATATTGGAAATTTGGAATATTTGAAATTTGAATATTTGGAAATTTGGAACATTTGAAACTCGAATATTGGAATTTGGAATTTTGGAAATTTGGGATATTTGAAATTTGAATATTGGAAATTTGGAATTTTGGAAATTCGGGATATTTGAAATTTGAATATTGGAAATTTGGAATATTTGAAATTCGAACAGAAGACAGAATATAGAGTACTAAAATTAGATTCTAAATTGAACAACAAATATATACATTACTTAATAATTCTCAAATTGAATTTTAATGCCACCTAAATCTCACCTACCCCTCTAATATTCTCGATCGCTACGTCAACACATGAATGCCATCGTAAAGTTTTTATGAAATTCGACAAATTTGCCCGACAACTTCGTACAAACAGGTTTAGTTAAAAATAAACGAATAAATAAAGTCGACAGTTTACGGAACTTCTTATCGAGGCCGAAATCCATTAAAGAGCCAGGGCGTCGATGTACCCGCAACTTCCGTGGAGCACGCATTAAAAGTATATATATATATACATAGACATGTATATCCTGTGTTAACACAAGGCCGTGTACACACCACCGTTACCGCGACTTCGCCCTGTAATCCGGCAATCCGCTAATCTAATCTGCGCCAGCAATCCTCCTCGCGGCCGGCGTACAAATTATTACGAAGTTTCATCGAGTGTCGTTAGAGCAATTTCCAGGGAAGTTGCTCTCAAAGACGAAGAGTGCACTCGTAACAAGTTTCGAAATCAATCCGCCCCACCATCCTTTGGTCTCGGTCATTTTCGAAAGCCACTTTTGCCCTCGTCGAATACACGCCTTCTTCTTCTTATTCTTATTCGAGTCCACGTGGCTATTTTCAAATTTGAATTCACTCCAATTATCTTCAAAGAAGTTTAACAAAATAAGGTTCACGTCTGATCTCATAAAAAAAGGCACTTCTTATAAAAATTGCTGTATCACTGTTATTCCTCGATATTTTTCCATAAAATTTTCAAGATTTTTGTAATACATCTAAGTACTCTTTTCTGAATTGCAAAATTTCACTCTCACAAATTAAGGAATCGTAAAAATAGCGTATCTTTGTCTTTCCAAGTACTGCGTAGAGCTCAGGAGTTTGCCCCTGGAAAGAATGTGGGTTTTATTGGGTCATATCCCCATAAGCCCACCTTCTCTAACACAGTCACAGAAATAAAGCACACGTGTCATTATTGGCTGAACGCGATAACATCGTCGAATCGAATTACATAGCACAGCGTACCAAAAGATTCAGGAGCTGCGAGCGTAATGCCCTTCGTGCCCCTGAGCTGCCCCGAGGGCAAACTCCTGCGCACCGTACAGTACATGTAATCCTTCCCATAAAACAGACATTTCTTCCAAAAATTCGTCACAGTAAAGAAGCTCCCCAGACAAACATTCGCGAGAAACAACATACATTGCAACAAT